GCTAGAAATCAGGTTCGCAGAAAATGCTGTTTATTAGTTAAATTTAGTAGGAATAACACGATCTGTGACGTAGGCTATAGTATACCCAATTAATCTACGCAACTTAAAAGCCGCTGATTGTAATTTTCCAAATACGTTAAACATAAGGATTCTAATTTTTCTCAAATAGAGCGCTATCCAAAGGAAATACTTTTTACAGTAAAAACAAAGCTTACTGCAAGCATGTACGGTAGAAATGATGAGGGCAGCTCTTAATACTGCTCTTACCAACTCCTGACAAAACTTGCCCTAAATATTCACCTTACTTCTTTACTCGGAATAATTCAACCTCGTAACCATAGTCAACGGCAGTGCAGCAGACTATCTCTGGGAGGAGTTCTTTAGATAGTCAGACTATACCAATTTTAGATGAAAACATACTATCCCCTGATCATTCTGTCATTCAAAGCAAATGACTTTTTTTTTAAAACAAATATTAGATTTTGGGTAATATGTCGTGATGTCATAGCGAGTGAGAAGAAAGCTACCGTGACTTTCTAATAAAGCTTATTTATACCTCTTATTCTCTGCTACTCAAGAGACTACATTTTACAGTAGTATTAATCTTAAGAAATTCCTGGACTTTTGTATAGAGTAATGCGATCAAGGCTGGCTTAGTGTGCAAAATCGCCAAAAATATGCGTACAAAATATTTTACCTAGCCAACTTGAGCACTCGAAACTGTATACTCGATCAATTATTTTTCAGAATATGCAATTACAGTGAAACCTCCAAGAAAGACCACCTCTATGTAGCGACGTTCCCGAGAGGCTTCATTGTAAAATGCACCAGCATGTTTTTTCGATATTTTTTCAAAAAGAAAATAAATCCGACAACTTTGAAAAGATAAAAGGGTAATGGATAAACAATAAAAATGAAAGGATATTTTTACAAAGGTGAAATTGTCCTGACAAAAAGGCATAATGATTATTATTATTAGGGTAGAGAGGGGTAATATAAACTCTTAAAAATAAAATCATTTCCTCGAACTTTTACCAAAATATTCCTTTTACAGTACCTCATTGGATTAAAATAAAAAAAAAGAAGTGAGTCACTCACCATTTCAATGAATCATAATCCAAAATTCTGAAATATTTCTCAGTATACCGATAACTTCACAGAAATTATGCGTAAATATTCAGCTTAGTAACATGCAGTTTCTTCTTTCTACGAAAATGCTGAAATCTACCTTCAAGAAGTTGGAGGTAAGAAATATTTTTTTTATAGCTCAGCACGAAATAAGCGAGAAAAGAGCGTAATTATTATCCTTCATACTGTCGTCTGTTGTACCGGAATACGAGTTTCATTGTTTTAGTCCGATGCATTCTTCTTTTATTTTACGATTCGCTTTAGTCTTAGTCGTAACACCAAGTAAAAAGTTCGCGCTTGAAAGTGAAATAATCATCCTGTTTACGGATATTTCAGGGCATTAAGGGATGGTAGAAAGTACACTAAAATTATTAAGCGCTTTTCTGCATTTCTTAAAATAGTTTAGTCCCTATTAAATAAAAATATTGCAGGAAGCATTGGCATAAATTGGATGTTTAGGTTGTTTGAAATGCTCAATTAATTTTTTTAAAAGTCATAACGCGAAATATAGAATGGCAAACTCTTCTATCTTGAAAAGAGTTTTTGTTGGTCTGATGACTATAGTTTTTTACTGGCCCTACTTTACAAATTATTAATTTTTTTCCAAATTAATTAAAATCCTAAACTTTATGTTGAGTGTGAATATCCTTTATACTTTTACAAATAATTAAATTAAATGTGTTTTATTTTTTAAAAAAAAAACTTTCTTTTTTTTTAAGCAGGCGTGCATAACACCATAAAAATGCAGCTTTATGTTAAACAGTGAGGAAAAAAAAATTAAGTCCCGTAGTTCTCTTAATAAACTTGCGACTTAGTTAAAAACATTTTTCAGGCATAGAACATTAAGAAATTATGTAGTTTATTCAGAGGCTACATATATTTATTTCATTTCATATAATTGTGGTTTAAAATTCTTTAACAAAAATACTTTCTGAGAAATATTCTACACAAGGTGTAGTGTGCATATGGGTCCAGGCCAAAACTTGGGACTTTCAAGTTTAGTCACTGTCCATTTTTTGAAACAATTGATAAGTACATTTTATTTTAAACCTTAAACATTCTTCGTATTAAATACATGGAAGAACAAGAAAATGTAAGTTTAATTTATAAATTTTATTGTCATTTAGTTTAGTTCGCCATCCTATAATAATTTAAAAATATATCCTTTTATTATAGGGGACATCTTTTATTCTATTCACTTGAATCTATTTTATATTTAATCGACAGCTTTCTATATCTACTAATTTTCACATCACTTAAAGGCATAATTTTGAATGCATATCACTCAATAATAAAGAACCAATAATATTCGAAACTAATTTAATGACAACCTTTGGTCACGAAGACTAGGCTTATTTTTCGTACAAAAAGCCGTTCTTAATATATCGATTTCTTTTGTTATACAGTTGCTTCAGAGTTTTTTTTTCTCTCGTAAATGTTATACATCATTTGTATTTGCATTAGCAAATTCGTCATCAAAATTTGCGTTTTTGCATTAAAAACATTATGGCAACTTTTTTTTTCGTGTAGCAAAAAAGCACATCTGTTAGCTCTATTTTTTTATAACAAGCTTATAGGCATTGTAAACTCGCAACAAATGTATGCTACAACATATATTATAGTTGTCCTATAGTTCTAGCGAGATATTCACAAAATAATAGTTTGAATTTTCGTTGAAGTTTTATGCTTCTACGTGTGAAAGAATTTTTTTTTAATTTTAAATAATAGTTTAAATTATGCAACTTTGAAATTTTAAATAAAATAATAATAATTGATATAAATTCGCTTTTAATTATAAAACTTTCTGTCTTCTTTTTTTGTTCAAACAATTCAAATTGGGTAAGTTTTTTTTTCCTTTTGTTAAATCGTTTTTTTACTTTATAACTATAGCATGTATGCAATTTATTTCATAAGTTTTTCAGTTCAAATAATAGCTTATCAGTATTGTTGATGATATTTTTACTTAAATCACTAATATTAAATAAATTATATACTGTTTTAACTTAAAGACAATATTATAAGGCTACATAAAATTTAGTCACGCTTACTTTGCTTCTGGGGTTAACTCTAATTAATGTAAATATTAAAGCGAAGAACACTTTTGCAGAAATTAAAATTCTTTTAAACCAAACTAGCACTACTTTCTCTTCATAAAAAGAGTATCAACTCAAATTCAATAAATACTTCAGAAGGCAGTGGGGTTAATGTAGAGACCTAAAGTGGTGAGTTCGTATATGCGATAGCGAATATATATGGGTCATTCTCACAAAAACAGTCCTTTTCATGTCCCCAGTATATTTTATGTTTGTTTTACAGCTTACGAAAAAAAAAATTCAGGGAAAGTGTCCTTCAGAATGCAAGCTAACAAAAGAATAAAAATAAAATTATCAATTTTTATTTTTTATTTATTNTCCAGCTTTAGAGAACTGTTTACTATTAAAAATAATTCATGATTGTGAAGGAATAACAATATTTACTAACAATTAAAATTGTTTTAAAAATATTTTGTTATAAATTACTTCTTCACTGGAAAACTGTCAGAAAATTATTAAACTTTTGACATACAATAAAAAAACATTGTAAAATTTCCTATTTCATAGTCTTTCAAAAGCTAATTTCACGTAATATATGGATATTCAGCCGTTTTGCTTATGATTGGTTCTTTTAAATATCACGACTTAATTTAAAAGCAAGATAAAAGAGTACATCTTTATTATACTTTGATTCTGCTACAAGAAGCACTCTTGGTTAATTTTTGCGAAATTCTTACTATTTTTTTCTTTTCCATAAATGTTATCTCTCAGATGGCTACAGACTGTGATCCGTATGTCGTTGCTTTCTAAACTACGTTAGGAATTCTAGATTGCTCAAAAAAAAATTTTTATTTGTAAATATTATCCTTATAATTTATTTTCTATCCCTTTTATTAATACAATATCTTCAACTTATCAACTCCTTTTCTTAGATATGTACTTTTTTGCTTTAGAATTAGTTTAATATTAAAATTAAAATAATAATAATAGAAATCTTCTCACTGATTCAGAAGTGGAGAGCTTTCTTTTCTGAGATGATCGATTTGCGACAGAAGATCTAACCTATAAAAATTTTGTTATTTATTTTTAATTGGAAAAATAAAATGTCATAAATATCAATTAATGTCATAACAATTCGAAAAATAAAATTTGTTCATTTATTGTAAAAAATAAAAATGCTTCCAAAAATTTAAACATCTAGAAAAAATACATAAAAATTATAAAATTAATTAATTGTAAATTAATTATTTAAAAAATTAATTAATTTAAATATTAAGTATAATTTATAGAAAATATACTTCCTTTATAATGCCATTACATAATTCTATTAATATAAAAAGTTTCAGAGCTTTTTATTCACTTTACTTTTTTGGGATTTTATGAACTGAAAAATGACAGTTTTCGTGAGAATGACCCATATAGAGGAAGCTGCAAGCCTGTACAACTGTTACTTGGTTCTTTAAATTTTTTTTAGAAATACCAATGCCATAGATTCGAAGCAATGCGGACGAATGCAGAGGAATCAATGTGGAACCCCGAAGCGGTGATTTCGTGAAGGCGGAAGACAGTGTAGAATGGCGATGGAAGTCTTAATGCTAAGTTTAAATGAGTTCATGTACGCAAACTAGCTGGTCGCTTACAGGCGGCTACTAACATTGTAAAGCAGTATAAAAGCAGACATTTTTCTTAGGTTATGTAGTAAGGGAAATATTGCTATTACATAATAAGTGTTTGATTAAAACTCCCAATGAACCTGACGAAACAACATATAAATATCATGAATAAATATGTTAATGATATGAATACATATGATTAAATAAAAGCAATAGCTTTCTTGTTGTACTACTTAACTTTTATTAAATGTGCTGATGAATACAATAAATTAAATGCAAATAAATGAATCTTTTTTGCAACAAACTAAGAGACAGATATTGTAGCTCGGAGAAAATAACAAATTTTATAAACGTTGACAAATTTTCAGCCTATGACTTTCACTCTATGAAGCGTTTTGCTTTTCTTACTCTTTTAACTCTGTACGAAGCGGATGATTGAAAAAGTTCTTCTGATTTATCAGGAGTCAAAAGCTGGAAAAAAAACAAAATTAAGTCATTAAATTCACAGAACAATTTTTAAGAGATGCTAGTTTCCAAGAAGTGCTGTTTTTTTTTCTTTATTCTAAATCTTTAAGTGAATTAAACGTAGGTTTTAATTTTAAAATTTGTTACAATATTATAGAATTTTTGATTTACAATGCATTGTGTTCATTGCTATTTGAAAAAAAACTATTTAAAACTATTTGGAAAAACTATTGAATAATTTTTGAAAAGAGGTTTTCTATTTGAAACTATTTGAAAAAAATTGGAAACTTTGGAAAAATTGAATTACTGAAAAAAATTGGAGCTACATTGGCTTAGTTAACAAATTAAATCGTTAAAATTGGCACTTTTAGTTTGAAAAATAATTTTTGAAGTTATAAGTTGAATTTTTTAATAATTTATGTTTATTCCTGTCACTAAGAAATATAAACTTGCAAAAACAATTTACTTCGAATTCTATTCAAAGTGAGTAGTTAGTTGTCTGACCTTATCAGATATGTATGAATTAGCTGTTTGTGTTTCACTCCAGCTTTAGAGAACTGTTTACTATTAAAAATAATTCATGATTGTGAAGGAATAACAATATTTACTAACAATTAAAATTGTTTTAAAAATATTTTGTTATAAATTACTTCTTCACTGGAAAACTGTCAGAAAATTATTAAACTTTTGACATACAATAAAAAAACATTGTAAAATTTCCTATTTCATAGTCTTTCAAAAGCTAATTTCACGTAATATATGGATATTCAGCCGTTTTGCTTATGATTGGTTCTTTTAAATATCACGACTTAATTTAAAAGCAAGATAAAAGAGTACATCTTTATTATACTTTGATTCTGCTACAAGAAGCACTCTTGGTTAATTTTTGCGAAATTCTTACTATTTTTTTCTTTTCCATAAATGTTATCTCTCAGATGGCTACAGACTGTGATCCGTATGTCGTTGCTTTCTAAACTACGTTAGGAATTCTAGATTGCTCAAAAAAAAATTTTTATTTGTAAATATTATCCTTATAATTTATTTTCTATCCCTTTTATTAATACAATATCTTCAACTTATCAACTCCTTTTCTTAGATATGTACTTTTTTGCTTTAGAATTAGTTTAATATTAAAATTAAAATAATAATAATAGAAATCTTCTCACTGATTCAGAAGTGGAGAGCTTTCTTTTCTGAGATGATCGATTTGCGACAGAAGATCTAACCTATAAAAATTTTGTTATTTATTTTTAATTGGAAAAATAAAATGTCATAAATATCAATTAATGTCATAACAATTCGAAAAATAAAATTTGTTCATTTATTGTAAAAAATAAAAATGCTTCCAAAAATTTAAACATCTAGAAAAAATACATAAAAATTATAATAAGATATCACGGAAAATTATAATTGCGAAACGAAACACGGACAAATTATAACATTCCAAGACATTGCCAAACAAGTTGGAAAAAAATAATACGAACTCTATTTTGACTATATGAACTTTACCAACCTTTTAACACCTACATAACTTTAATATATTTTGCGTTTGTGTTCAATATGAGGCTTTCTTCTTATTTAATCGCTCTTCCCTTTGTTTTACTTTTTCATGTAACTTAAACATTTTCTTCTTACAGCCATTTTATAAATTGCCGCTGACCTTTAAACATTTTCTCTGTATTGTATGTCCCGGAAATTTTTTGTAAGTTCTAATCTCCTTGCTTGTAGTGCTTATTCATATTTTGTCTTACTACTTTTAATTAATTTACGAAATTTTATAAATAATGAATAAATTTAAAATAGGGAAAAATGTATATAATTTAAGGATAGTTATTTAGATTATATAACGTTGTTATTTTTCATTTATAAAAATATTATTTTGATGTATAGTGTTCAATGTATTTTATAATTTTTTGAATGAAGTAAATACATTCCCTATTTCCTTTGGGTAGAGTCAGGCATGCTAACACCTTTATGCATATTTCTACAATTTGAAATGTTCTTTATTTGTAATTATTTCAATTAATTTCTAGTACTTTAGTTTCCGAAAATTGAACTCAAAACAGTTTTTAATACTATATCATTGCGTTAGCGCAGTAAAATTTGACTGAACTTTCTATAGTTTCTGTATTTAACTACATAAAAACTATTGCGATTAAATATATTTTATACTAAATAGGTATCTAGGTTCTGAAACTTCTTGTTAAAACCCGAAACTAAATTGAAAATAAAAAATCATAAATTCGCAAGACATATAATTTTATAAATGATTATAACCAGATTCGAACTTAATTTATTTCCTATATAACAATTATTCATAATATTCAGGCAATAATAAAGCTTTAGATCAAGCAGAAGTAAATTAACTTATTTTCAATATATTCCAGCTTTTAATTCTACTTTTCCCATTTCAAACATCTTCAAAAATTAAAATATATAGTTACAATTTTGGCAAAAAATGGTTAAGGTGTATGTGAAGAAGTCCTTGAACAGTAAGTCTTCCGAATTTTCTTATCATAGCTTGGTGAATTCCCACTACCCACTTTTGTATATTAATAACTTGTAACGGAAAAATTAGCAGGAATATGTAGAAATAAGTAAACTATCTACAAAAATTTTTTAATGATTATTTTTTTTAATTTAAGGTAAAATTATCTCTTGTCCTGAACCTCTCGACGGAAAGATTGGAATATATTCTATTAAGAACATTTTGATTTCTCTTCACTTTCCTGCTTTTAGCGAAAATTGCGACTAAATTGTTATAGTATATAGGAGATTTTGAGGAAGAAAAAGAGAGGCAGAAAGAAAAAATATTAGAAAAATTTTCAAAAAAAAAAAAAAAAAAAAAAAAACGTTACTTTTAATGACGTCTTTTACATCTAAAGGGGGAAAATGTCCCTAGAAACTCCTTCATTCTTACAACTGCTCATGTTTTAAAGCATTTAATCTCTCCAACTCCTTTAGAAGAATATTTGCTAGTTAAAATTCTTTCTCTTCCTCTAAATCAAATTTAAAGATGCAGAACGATGGAAAAGTGATAAACAAGGGGAGAAGCATTCCTGAAAAATAGTTGGTGATTTAGGAAAATGGGAGTCATGTTCGGATTCAGGAGGTTGTTTTGCCTAAGAATCCGCAGAAATTTTGCCAAGAAACGAAACATTTTTTTCTTGCAGCTTAGTATAATTAAATAAACTTTAATACCGCAATATATTATGTACAAACCAAGGAAGTTTTGTGCTCTTGGGAGAAGCGATGAAATTTTTCCTCATTTAAATCATTGGCCATACTCATAGCCTGCTCCTAATAAAAGAAAATATGTTTTTAAATGTTGTTTGAAACTGCCAGAATATTTTTTAACTCAAAGCTCCAGTAAAATATAGTAAAGTGATAAAAATAAGTAAATAAGTTTCATAAACGTATCATATACAAACCGAAAAAGGTTTACGCTCTTGGGAAAGGCGAATAGGCTTTTCACTTACGAAATCATTACCAAGATTCATAGCTTGCACCTAATAGAAAAAAATAATAGTGACGTTTCTTATCAAATCAATTTAAGTTCAAATCACAATTTGCGAATAGTATTCTGTTTATCAAAATTTTTTAATGTTATAGAATCAACCAGGAAAAAAATTTTAGTTAAAACCTTTTTAAATTTGAAATTGTCAAAAAATCATTAAGTTTGGTTAGCAAGCAAAAGATAAAATTGTAGAGAGCCATCAAAATATAAAATTGTAGAGAGCCACATGAAAAAAATATTTTTAAATAAATAATTGCAATAACTACTAATGGGTTGAACTTTAACATGCCTGTACAAGTTGATAAAATTAAAAAATAAGAATACTATCGAATTTATTTCTTTTCCCTTAAAAATAATAGATAAATAATTAAAATCATGTGAGCTGATAGTGTATTTTTTAATCCTCAGAAAAATACAGAGACTGTGGAAATAATTGGTTAAAAGGAACATCATTTGGGAGAAGGATTGAAACTAAAAAATAAAATTTTAATAAAATGATATTGCATTTATTGATGAAATGTCAAATTGTTAATACTTGCTAAATGCAAAAGAGTTGATTGAAACAGTTTATCATTTTACTGTTTAATTAGAATGTAGTATAATAAAATAGTCATTTAATAAATATTTCTATTGATTTAAACATAATTAAATATTTGACATTCATTAATGTTTAATATTTATTCAAAACGCATTTTGATAAAATTTGTGTTACCTGATTAATGGAATTTTCGATAACGTCTGTCTGACTGTACTCTTCAGTGTCATAGATTGACGTTATTTCGTCACTTCCATTTCCGCAGTCATTAACAACATCATCAAATTCAGTCTTCCAAAAAAAAAAAAAGAGATTAGCATATAATATTCATTAGCTGACAACTTTTGTAAGAAAATTTTTCGAAATTTACAGCAAAATGCAATTTAAAATTTCTTAATTTAAAATTTTTTTTTAACAATCTTACATAAAATTAACATATTGTAAATGAAAATTTCCAAATTGCTAAATTATAATTTCAACAGACAAATAACTAAAATTTATCAATAGTTTATCTAAAAAAATACTGAACTATGATTTAATCTGAGTTGCTAAAGTTATAAAATGACATGGCTTAAATTTAAAACACGCAAAATAATATTTTTAGAAAACACTAAGAGACTGCGCGCTGGCCCTTGTAATTGTTTTCCAGTCTACCTTAATTTTCCTCCCTTTCAAATCAATGTTTTCTACGAAAAGAAAGAATATTTTGTTAACAATATTGACAAATATTGCCGTTTCATACAAGAACTTTTAGCCAATATGTTAAACCTAAATAATTAAATGATTATCTGGATTTGGAAAATTATCATCTGTACTTAAAAAAATTCATTTTTTGAGTACAGAATGTGTTACACAAGAAAAAAATTAATGAAAAGTATTTTCACTCGTTAAAGAAGCTTATAATAGTTAAAATTTTAAATTGTTTTTATCTCTCTTCTATTAATTTCTTATATTTTTAAACGTTTAAACACAAATTTTTTAAAGAAAGTATAGATACATAAATATACAATTGTCTGATCATTTGAAAATAACACTTAAACAAAAATATATGACCTTAATGTATAGCATAATAAACTTAAATGTATTATCCCCTTCTTCCTAAGCTCTAAGCAGTAGAGAAGTGGGAAAACTTAGTATTGACTCTAGTGAATTTTTAAAAAATCCTGGTTTAGGGATATAATATTAAAATGCAGCTTGTAAAAAGAAACCTATTTCAAATTTCAAATCAGTAGCGCTAAAATGTCTAAGATTCGTTCAGAAGTCTGATGCATCAGAAACTAAAACAATTATTTCCCAGTGTTATCCATTGAGTACTTCTCATATCAGGATCGTTGTAATGTTGGCCAGAATTAGGCAGGAAGTTTTCCATATAGTCTTCTTTATATTGTTTCCTTAAAATGTTTTCATTAATGAATTTTTTTGACTGTGAGCAAGCAATGAAAGTACCTTAGCAACATGAAGTGCTTAATGTATAAAACTGATAAATTTTTCCTACGGGATTTTGTGAGGAAAGGTAAAAGGGACCTAAGCCTCCGAATTTTTGAAATTTTTAAAGATTTATCAAGAAATTTATAATGTTAATTTATGTAATTCAAAATATTGATTACTTCAAATTTATTTTTTTTTGCATAAATATGGACAATGGTAATTGAGCAATCAATTAACATTTATTATACTAATCTTAAAATAAAATGATAAATTAAATAACACTTTAAAAAAAATTAAAATAGCGCATACAAGTTACATAAAATTATTCATGAAAAACTCACCAATGTACAGAAACTCTTTACACAACCTGAGGCATATATTATCACACTTTAAATTACTTTTCCAATACACCCAAAACCTTTTAATTGCTTTAGTGGTAAAATATGCTTTAATTTCATTTTAATTTTTTGCTGTTCTGTTGTATGAATTGTGAAATATATTTATATATTTGAAATTTTCGCATGGATTAAAAAACTCATTAATATGTTTTTATATTCTAATACTTCATATACCTGAGAGTAATCATTGTGCAAAACTTCAGTGTCAACATTTTCTTTGTCCTTATCAGGAAAGTATTTTTCGAATCCAAAATTTCTTATGCTGTATTCATCAACTGTATATTTATTTCTGCCAGATCTAAAATTTATGATAAAAGTTATTAAATTTAAATACGAAATATTTAATTCTTAAGTCAATAGAATATGAAGCTACTAACAAGTTGGGTAATAAAATAAAACTAAACGATTTTAACATTGGAGATATTATGTGTTTTGATACCTATTTGTATTTTTTCTGACTCGAAGATTTTACCTGTAGCGAAATGATTGTCAGACTTAAAAATATTTTTTATTTATTACAATTAATTTATAACAAAAATGCATAAATGAGTATTACTCTTTAATAATAGCGCATAGAAAAAGTAGGAATATCATCGTATAATAAGAAATCAAAACTACAAAATCTTTCTAACTCATAAAATAACGATTTTTTTTGCTATAAAAACTACAAATTTAGAGCAATTAACAAGAATACCAATAAATTTAAAAAATATAAGGTTGTTAAAACTTTTCTGCAACACTTGCAAAAATTTCAACTCTTATGAATTTTCATTTTGTGTTGCTGTTTTTTTTTTTTTTTTTTTTTTTTTTTTTTTTTTTTTTTTTTNTTTTTTTTTTTTTTGTGTTCTTAGTTTAAACTTTCCTCAATATGCTCTAAGTGACTTTGGATAAAATTGAATTCGTTATTGCTATAAACGAGAATAATGCAACCATAAGTGTTGCAGATTTCTTAACAACATAATAATAAAATTATTCTAAAAAAAATCACTTTTAATAGTTTAATATATAATTATATGTTATACATCTATGTGTCTCAGTTTATACTTTTTAATGAATCCTTCTGATAGTAAGCGCTCGATTGTTTTAGTAGCAACTGGTTTTGAGAAATGAATCTTCTTCTGTAGGCTACTACATGTTATTACTTTACAAAGAGTGCAGAATACTAATGCTCTTCTCATTATGCAAAAATCCTAAAAATGAAAGAAAATAAACCTAATTATAGACAATCTACAAATCACGAGTACCAAGTCACCAAAAATACCGTAGCTAATGCTCAATATTTTAGTAAAATTAAACATAAAACCAAAATAATGTTGCATTGCATAATATGCAGGGGGAAAAACTGATTTAGTACCAAAAAATTTTGAATTTTCCTAGACTACTGATAATAAAATTTATTTTTGTGAGAGTAGACTTCCTAGGCATCATGAACTTTCCCCATCACATACTAAAATAAATAACAATTAATGCCAAAACATGTTTAAATAGTATTTAAACATGTATTTAAGTAATTAAATAATAGTATTTAAACTAATAATATTTAAATTAATTAAATATAAAGTAAACTTAAAAGTACTTGATACCAAATATAAAAATTTCAATTTTATTGCTATTTAAAAATAGCAAGCGCTTAAGTCTAATTATAAGTGGCCACCATAGATGAAAACCACTTCATACAAATATTTATTCACAATATAAAATTTATATTTGTTTTCCTACCTCTCTTTCCTCTTTTGGAAGAGTATACACCAAGTCTAAGCTGGAGTCATCATTAGTATTATCAAGCATGCAGTCAGCGCAGTAAAATATATTGGGGGGATCTTCCAGATTTAGAATAGCATAGCAAACAGTGTGCTGTTTTCGTCCGCAGCTCAAACATGTTATAGTATTGGACGTATTGTCCTATGTTACAACAAAAATCAATGATTAATATTTAAAAATACACGAAAAATAATTTTAAAGATATAATTAATTAATTATTCTTTACTGTTTTGGATTTACAAGGACATTCAAGCATAGATTCTTTTTCAGCAGTACTTGTTTTTCCTGTAAATTACATTAAAAAAAAGGTGAAATATGAGTAAGAATTTGTTAAATTTTTAGTTTTGTTTATAATTATTTCAGTTAATATTTTTATTTCAGTTTAATAACAAGCTATAAGATAATAAAAGCAATAATATATTTTACAAAATTAAATAGGCTGCACGTCTTACAAACATTGAAAACTTAATGTGCAATGAAAAACAATCCATGATTGCGTATCATTTACAAGGTTATGAATTCTTTTTCAGCAGCAGTTTTTTTTTATAAACTTCTTGAAAAATGTAATTGCTTAAAAAATGTAATTTAAAGGTAAATTAGGATATAATGTAATCAATTTTTAAATTTATTTAAACACACATATTAACAAAATATAATGATGATTTATTTTACAAAGAATTAAACCTTATCACAAAAATATACAAACCTTAAATATTTCACAAAGAATCAAACATTAAAACTAAAAATGATTTTACAATATATAAATATGCAAAGCTATTAATTTTAATTTTAAATCATTTTCTTTTGACGATATTCAATATTGTTTAAATACAAATTTATGGGCTCACCCGCCATAAATAATCACTTAAAAAGTTAAAAACGATAAAGGAAGAAAACTTTCAAAAATACTTATATATCAAAAGAAAAAAATTAAAGTTAACAACTGTATTACTAATTTAGAAAAACTAATTACCTAAATCAATATAATTAGTAAATTTTAATCAATTTTCATTAAAAATAATTACCACATTGCATTAATTTAGGAGCATTAACAGGTTCTTCATTTTCTGCCTGAAAAGATATTTTGGATATATGCACAGTGCGCCAAAAAAGGAACAACGGATCACCCTGAATAACTTTTGATATAATGATTGGATCTTCAAGTTTTAGGACTCAATAATTCAAGGGGATATTCTCAAATATGTAAATTAATTTGTGCAGACGATATTTTAAGGCACAAAATTAGAAATATAGTACTTTTTCTGAATAAACATACCATTTTTTTCAACTGATTTGGATTTCTGACCTACCAAAATATAGTGAGTAGCCGCAATCTGAGAAATATGGTCCCCATAGTTAGGTCAGGAGAGCGATCCAAAGTTTAGACCCCTAAATGTTAATTTTGCTTTTTGCGTATTTCGCCATATCTCGAGAACTTTTTTAAGCCAGTTGAAAAATTTTTGCACCCAATTTTAAGATTTCGTTTTTCCAAAGATAATTCCGTGCAAAAAATAAATTTTAGTAAATATTTATTTTTTTAGTCAAAAAAATTTTGTAAGTTGTTTAGCCGAAAAAATTTTGTAAATTGTTTAGTCGAAAAAATTTTGAATGCAATTTTTACATAATTTTAAAGTATGTAATTTTATATGACAAAATGCAAACTTTAAGAAAAATCGGTTGAATAGCTCCTGAGAAATCGATTTCTAAGAAAGTCGCATATTTAAAATTGGATTTCTCAGAAACCAATTTTAAATATGCGACTTTTCTCAAATTTTTCCGATTTTTCTCAAATGTTCTATTTTGCCATGTAAAATTACGTACTTTAAAAATTTTTATCCCTTACAATTCAAAAATTTTAGATTATTGTTTAATAAAATATAATAAGCATTTACTAAAATAAATTTTTTGCATGGAATTATCTAAGAATCTGTCAATTTAATAATTGCGTGCTTAAGTATTTCAATTCACTTAAAAAATTCTTGAGATATGGCGAAATATGCAAGCAGTAAAATTAACATTAAGGATCCAAACTTCGGATCACTCTCCTGAAAAAACTATAGGAATCATATGTGTCAGATTGAAGCTACCCCCTATATTTTGGGGATCTGAAATCCGAGTCTATTATGCCATAATCCAAATTATGTTTTTTCAGAGAAAGTGCGTTAAGTCTAAATTCGTATCTTAAATATCGTCTGTATTAATTAATAAACATATTTTAGATCTACCCCTCGAACCATTAAGATAAAATTCTGGAACGTGAAGATCCGATCATTAGATCAAAAGTTATTTAGGATGTCCCGTTTTTTGCGCGCTGTACACATGGATATATTATTCTTTTCTTTTATAATAGTTGTCCTTATTTAAAAAGTAAATATACGAGTAAGAAAATAAACTAACTTTTAATTATGACTTCACTACAATAGAATTCACCATAACGGAAGTTAAGAAGTATTGATATAAGAATATAGAATAAGTAAAAAGTGAGGAAAGTTTGGAATATCTTGAGTAATAATAAAAATATGATAACAATAAAAAAAAAGATATATTTGTGCAATTCTAACAAAACAACATCTACACTTTTGGCAAACAAATATTTAAGCAATGTTATGGCTATGACAATTATTTACGTATACGTAATATATATATATCATTCTCACGAAAACTGTCATTTTTCAGTTCATAAAATCCCAAAAAAGTAAAGTGAATAAAAAGCTCTGAAACTTTTTATATTAATAGAAATATGTAATGGCATTATAAAGAAAGTATATATCCTATAAATTATACTTAATATTTAAATTAATTAATTTTTTAAATAATTAATTTATAATTA